ATTCTAAGGCGGAAGGTGAATCCGGAAGTGTGGGAGATGTCTAGATAGAAACTGTTGAGCACCTTGCTCGACTCGTTCTCCATGCCAACGCGGCAAGAAGATGCCGCGCCTGCGTCTTGGAGCGAGTCTCCAATCTTGACAAGGAAAGCCGCCTTAGTCATCTGAATAGCTGCGAAATCGTCGGGCCAGCGTGATGAGCTTTCAAACTGGAGAACAATATCGGCTGCTTCGTTGTCTCCGTCCGCACCGTGCACTCGAAGGGCCGCATAACGAAGCAGAGGGCTCGCGGGAGCCACATGACGAATTGACAATGGAACCTCCTCCATGTTTCGAAGCGACTGCTCCAGTTCGTTGAAGGCGTCGTTGATTGACTGGAAAGGTGAGTTGGAATACGAGATGACCCCGTCACCTTCATCGTACAGCATGTCATCATACTCATCACCGTGCAAGAAGAAATCCTCGTCCGCAATCTTGAAATGCCGTTGCAGGATATGAGCCAGGATCTGATGCACGATAGAGTCTTCGTCGGGTTGGTCGGACCAAACAAGACTTTCCACGATACTGCCATCCTTGAATCGACGCAGTTCTGCTTTCTCTCCCCAGAAGGCACGGAAGGACGCAGCTTCCTCCTTCTCCTCCGCGGCCGGTCCATGATCAACCGTCCTGCCGACGTTGTCACCATGAAGCATCAGTCCAACGGACAAATCGTGGCTCGCTCTCTTGTTCAGGGCCTTTGATTTGACAGGCCATGATTCCACTGAGCGGCTGCTCAGAGAGATTAGATTGACTCGGTCCCCAAGAGCCCTTGACAACACTTGGTAAAGAGACTTTTGGTCGTGGAGAGACCGAAGAGTGTCACCACTGAAAGACTTCGGGAAAGTGAGGAGACGATCGAATCTCAAGGCTGGCTCGTCGACCTTCACGATGAAGACTCTGTCGAAATTGTCTTCACGAGACTCATTCAGCATCTTAAGGGTGACCGTAGCTTCTTGACGCAGAACTGAATAAGACCAAGGAGTCATCTTGTACAGAATATTCAGTCCTCGGCGACCGTCATAGAGAACGGGCCCGCCATCAGGAACAGACACATCCGAGGCAAAAAGGAGCAAAGGAGTGGACAAGTCTCGACCGGCTAGGAATTGCATGGTCGCCTTGAAAATCTGGTAACTACTATAAGACCGCAGAAGAATGGGTTGACCAGAAGGTCCGCCGCCTTCAAAGAGCAGTGAGATAAGAGCGGACCACTCAAAGCCTCCAAAGCCTCCCTTCTGGAACGAAGTGTGAAATCCTCGTTGCTGCAGCCAAGTTCGTCCCAAGATACAAGCGTCGCGGAAGGAGTCGCATTTTTGAGAAGCAGAGTAGAGGTATTTGTGGTAGAGAGACACTGCGGCTTCGGATCGAAGGCTGGCATTATAGAAGGGTGTCGGTTCACCAGCTTCCGCGGTATCGGCCGAGGAGCCTTGGCGAATATTGTTCTTCATGGGGAGAGTTCGAGTGACTGGGAACAAAGTCGGATCAATTGCAGTCAAGATCCGGATTTGGGGCTGTGACAGCGTTTTCTCGTCTTTTGACGAACGAGGCTCCAACAAAATCAGTGGGCGGAGACTGTCTCCGTCTTGGAAGCCAAACTTCACCTCTAGTCCAAGGCTGTTGACAGTTTCTTGGATACCGGCTGCCAGGCACGCGATATAGTAGGCTCTTTTGTGAAAATAGCGGTAGTTGACGTAGTCCTTTTCCTGGAAGATGGAGCTGGGCATTGTCACAGCGAGATCGACTGGGCGAGACTCGGCAGTCTTGGCTCCAGTTCGCAGACCAAAGCTTCCCACCACATTGATGTTGGTTGGCTTTGCATACGAAACATTGTACTTCACATCCTTGCTTGGGCGCGGTTCGGGCCAGGGCACCACGATTCCAGAAGCGGTGCGCAGCTCCTTTTCGGCGTCCACAATTGACTTCGGCAAAATTTCGGGTAGACTTTCGATAGCACTTTTCACCTTGTGCAGAGTATCCTGAATTTTCGATATCCGCTTGTCGTAGTTGACTCTTAGCCCGCTCACCAGTTCATCCACTTGCAGCTTGAAGAAACCGGACTTGTAGAAGCCACTGGCCATTGCCAGCTCTGCAGTACGCTCATCCTTTGCCCGGTGGGCTGATTTGGTTTTCGAGGAGTGGTCATTTTTCCGCGCAGAGACATGAGCTTGCTCTTCGTCGGTTTCCTTCGAAGTTGCGCCGTTGGAAGATTTCGACTGGGTTGCGGAGGCGTTGTTTGTGGGCGAAGGACTCAACTTCCTTCGCTTTACTGCATGGGCCGACATCCTTGCGTTGGCGAGGTCGAAGCCAAGCAATATTAGGATGTGATGGTTCTAGATGCAGAGCTTCGAGGTGCCAGACTCAGTTCTGCGATAACCTCGAAATTTTTTTGAGCGGACGATAACAGACTGGCAGAACTCGGCGGGCGGTAGAGGCGGTAAGAGCACCCGCAGTCAACTGGCGAGTCCAACCAGTGAAGCTGCGGGATCCCGAGCATTGCTGAGTCATGGGCGCCGAAGTCGCAATCTACACAGATGAGTCTAAAAGTTGATTCCACTCCTTCTCGAACAACACTTTTCTGTTTTAAATTATCTTCTTGGTCTGATTGTTTTTTTGCCTCTCGGTTCCAATTCCACAATGCTACAAGTGCTTGGAGGCCCCGTGCCCCCGAACACCGACCATGTACGTCTGCTCCGATCCCCCGATCCCCCTCAATATACCCCTCCATGCATCTCTCTCCAGGATACTTCAATACGGGAAATGCGAGCTGGAGAGTCGCATGTCTGTTCCCAGCTATTTGCTGACAAAATCAAACAGGCCGTCAGTGTATCTCTACCAACATGGAGGTCCAATGTTGGATATGAGGAGGGAGAGGAATGGGTCGTAGGCAAGATGCAATGCGGCTATCCTCGATTCTTCGTACACCCGACCATTCAGAAACTCGCCCAAGAAATCGTTCGTCGCGTTGGAGACCCGGAATCGGAGACTGCTACCCTTTTCGCAACACTCAAGACCGCGCGCATCTGCCAGTCATTCATCGTGTCCAAGATCTCTCCCGAGGAGTCACAAAAGGTTCGGATCGTGACCTTCGTGCCCTCCCAGCAGGCCGACGAAGGATCCACTACAATTACGTCCTCGTTGGTGGCTGTTGTCTATAAGAAGGATTTTGCATCTATTGCCAAACAGGTCTGGCAACATTCTGGCAACGGTATCTCGAGTCGCCGGGGAGAGTTCTGTCTTCGTGCCTTGGAGGATGGGTTCTTGGTGGAGGAGAAGAAGTCTGCCACTTCAGAGTCTCTTCCACAGCGGCCTTGCAAGGGACCTCGCCGCTACCAGGGCAAGGGATCCATGAGTGGAATCTCACGGGGCTCCTCGGCCTCGACTCCCACGTCTCCGGATACCCCCTCGGCGACCAATGGCGCTGAAGACGGCCGAGACTACGCTCAATTTATTGAAGAGCGCTTTGGTCGCAACCTTAGCACTGCGCTGGCTGATCAAGCCAAGGTTGCCGTGCGGAGGCGAATTGCTGGCGTGCTCACTGCTGATGTTGAGCTGCCCGAGGCGCTCGAAGCCGCTTCCGCCGAAGGTCGAGTCTCCGGTATCTCGGAGGAGGACGTTTATCTCTATCCCGCTGGCATGAGTGCCATTTTCAACTCGCATCAGACGCTGCAGGTGGCCCGAGAGCCTTTGAAGAGCATCTGTTTTGGCTTCCCTTACACCGACACCTTGAAGATTCTAGAGAAATGGGGACCCGGCTGCTTGTTCTATGGCCACGGCTCATCAGAGGATCTTGATGATCTGGAATCACGGCTGAAGAATGGCGAAAGGTTCCTTGGTCTCTTCACTGAAGCCCCCGGTAATCCTTTGCTCAAGACTCCGGATCTTGTGCGAATCAGATCTTTGGCCGACCAATATGGCTTTGCCGTGGTGGTTGATGAGACCATTAGCAATTTCCTCAATATTAACGTCCTCCGGTATGCCGATATCGTTGTTAGCAGTTTAACAAAGATTTTCAGTGGAGACAGCAATGTCATGGGTGGCAGTGCGGTACTGAACCCGCAAGCTCCCTACTATAAGCTGTTAAAGGACACTTTGAACCGCGAATTCGAGGACCTTTACTGGGCAGAAGATGCAGTGTTCCTGGAGCGAAACAGCCGAGACTTCATCAGCAGAATTGACAAAATCAACGCCACCTCTGAAGAAATCACTGCCATGCTGAAGGCATCTCCACTCGGTAAATCAGCATTTGTTCTTCCCCGGCCTTGTCCGTACTAACGAATACAAAATATAGTCAAAGAAGTTTACTATCCCAAATACAACCCAACGAGGCCTCTGTACGACAGCCTCCGAACCCCCAATGGCGGCTATGGTGGTCTCTTTTCTGTCACATTCCATTCCACCGCGGAAGCTATCGCATTCTATGATACCCTCGAGGTATTTAAGGGCCCTAGTCTTGGCACAAACTTCACCCTCAGGTGAGTGAAACCTCTCTCAAACAACCGATTAATTGCGCTCACAAAACTCCATATCAGCTCTCCATATGTCGTCCTTGCCCACTATCTCGAACTTGACTGGGTATGATTTTCTCTCTTTCCCTGCGACTGCGCATCTTCCACCCGACAACAAGCTAACATGGATCACGCTATAGGCGAGATCGTTCAATGTGGACCCTGACTTGGTAAGAATCAGCGTCGGTTTGGAGGAGGTATCCGACTTGCGAGGCCGATTCCAGCGTGCTTTGGATGCCGTGGGAAAGGTGGAAAAATAGACAGGGTGACACGCTAGCGCTCCTACATTTTCAACAAAACTCAATCTGCTCAACCTTCAGAGATATTTCTAATAGCCCCAATGCCATGTTCTGGGGCGGAACTGCATTCATAGATATTTAGCCAGTGTGAGCGCAGGCACAGTCACTTCCTACATTTCAAAAGGGTATATACACAAAATGATATGATTAAAAACGCCAAGAACACCGGGTGTCGAATGAGCACCTAATCAAGGATATCCAGATCCATAGATTTGAGTTATGTGAAACGCGACGATAAAAATAGACAGAGCACCTTCGTCACGCCGTTCGACTGCTTGAGCGCAAGACCGAAGAAAAACGGTCTGAGTTCTCTGCGCGTCTGCTTTGCTCTTTAGAGACTTGCTGCAGGGCATCACAGCTACACAACACCGACAGTTCCAGAACTATCGTCCGAGCCAAGCGAAATGCCTATTGTAAGAGACATTGGGAAAACCAAGTAGGTATCACTCCTTCCGGGCAAAATTTAAAAATGACGATCGAAGGGCTCTTCATTGCCGATGGCACTAGCCGTCTGGCTTGCAAAGCTGCCAAGATCACCACTACCCGTTCGTCTCAGCGCCTGTCGCATCGTTTCAACATTTAGTTCACCACCAAAATGGGAAGCAACTGGACTTTGGGCAGTTTGGAGTGGACTTGCCGCTCCGCGGGTGCCATGACTGGGCGACATTTCGAGACCTTTGAAGGAAGTCGCAATGCTAGTTGGAGGCGATGTGCCCAGTCCATGCGAGGAAGCTGGAGATCGTAACGGGGACGGCGAACGATTGTGGTATCCTGCACCAATCGGATGACCCGAAGCTCCTCCAACCTGGGAGGGCTCTCGGCTGTACACTGACTCGCCCGTCTCTGCATTTTCAGCATTGACAACATCGGCAAAAGAAATGAAACTCAACCGTCGGACGTCTGTCGAGTCCAGTGCGGCATGAGTAGACGAGCTTTCATCTGTCTCGATAGAGTGGAACCCCGCATGATCGACGAAACCGGAGGACGCCAGTGAGTGCTCTGCTGTGGACGAACCGGTCACGCCCGCAGCAGCAGATTGATGCATACTATGAGTGATAATTTCCACTGAATCCGGGTCCAGTTGTTCGTCGGTAATGGCGGCTGACGAGGCCTCTAGAACTGGAGGGATGTAGTTCTCGGTGCGAATATGGGCGGGGATGGATGGGGAAGCTTGCTGGGGGAGTATGTCTTCTTGGACACTCCGCTCAAAAATTTGAGACGCCGGGGAGTGCAGGCGGGGGGGGAACTGTGATGTCCCACCGGGGGACGAGGGTTGTCTGTACGCGTACTTCGGTCGATCTGAAACACCTGGCGTTCGCAACGCTTCAAATGAGGAGCCAGGTGAAATTGGTGACACGGGGCCATCACTCAGGGCTCCAGATCCGACAGATGTGCCCTCGGTATGTTGGTCGTTGCCGATATGCTGCACCTGGGGCCAGATTAGGTTGGCAGGCTTGGGAGCCCGGACATTGGTCGCAAGCTTTCCGACCACGGGAGTCTCATTGTCGGCTGGGTGTACTAGATCGCCTGGCAGCTGCGCAGAAGCTGAGATGGGACTCTGCAGCTGTCCATCCATAGACTCATGTAGTACATTCCGAGGGTCCGACATGGCGAAATGGGAGGGGAAGGCCCGCGAGAACTGGCAAAGATAGCGGGTATCGATGAACTATGGAAACCGGGGCCCAAAGGTTCTAGAAGACAATAGCCATGACCCAGAAACGTCTTCAGACGGTTCAGGGGTATTCCGATGAGGGGGACAAGAAATATCGATCGTAGGACGGGTTGGATGTTTAGAAAAGGAGAGGATGGGATGGGATCGTCATCTCACTCTTTGGCCAGGAGACAATGATGACATGCAGTGATCCAGCTGATCCAATGTGTTATGACGGGTAAAGTACCAGATACACGACTGGTTGAGGACCCGCCAACCCAATGCTTCAGGTAATCAAAATACCAGTCAATTACCAAACAGATTACCTAATATGGTATTGCCAGCCATGCCCGATTGGGATCTAGTCACGAGACTCGAGACTCGGGGAAAAAAGTTCGGGCTCGACACGTCCACCCTGGCCCGGTCTACCCATCACGGCTCGATTGTCGACCTCCCTTCACCGTCATCTTCTGGTAGGCTTTCAACTTGATACAGGACTTGTTGTCTTCGTACTTACTCCCTCCAGTACCCCAGCCTAGCATTGGCCTGCAGTCCCAAAGATGGCCACCTCAATTGCGGCTTCTAAGCGGCCATTCCTCACGCTGCCCTTCCTCCTTCCCTCATGGTCAGAATCCCTTGCTCTGGGATCTCGACGTTATCAATCTTCATACCGCCGCACAAAGCAACGTCTCCGTGTTAAGCCGGATGCCACTTTTGGCGCATCGCACCACGGACGCGATCAGATCATCTACAACCCGCCCTCCAGCGCACCATCCGTCTATCACACTCCGAGCAAATTTCTGCCGTCCAACGATGCCCGCAGGTCGATGCGCATAGAAGATGCGGCGAATGCAAATGCGACAGATAAGATTGAAGATCTCCCCAATGTCTACCGCAGCGACCCCGAGAGAAAGTACCACTTGACCCCCGAGGACGTTGAGGAAATCCGCAAGCTCCGACTGAGTGACCCAATGACCTGGAGCCGACACAAGCTGGCCAAGCGCTTCGAATGCTCGCCCCTCTTCATCGCAATGGTCTGCGAAGCCAGCCCGGAGAAGAAGCAAATTCAAAGGCAGGTGCTGGAGGCCGTGCAATCACAATGGGGTCCCAAGCGACGGATGGCCAGGGAGGACCGGAAGTTGCGCCGGGAGGCGTGGGGCCGTGATGAATGATTCAAGTACGCCCGTTCTCCTGGTTGACGTGTGGATTGTTCCAGGGAAGAAAGCACTCTCTATGGTTAAAGGGGGGGGGGGGAACTCATCGCCGCTGGGATGGTATCCAAACTTCAACCGTTTGATTAGCTGCGACTCGCAGCCTCGTGTAACAACGACATGTATTTTAAACTTATAGCATTGTTCTCTGTACTTTCATATCCATACAATTTTCTTTCTTTGTATTGATTGTCGCCTAGTATATAGCCTCGACAAGAATGTGGGTCGTTGTCAATAAATTACCGTGGTAGTACTGTGGTGCAGATAGGGATTCTGTTGATACACATACAATGATCGGACACGGATCTACTCAGCCGATAAGGGACGGGTAGTAATGCAAAAGGGGGGCTCAATACTACAGCTTGAGGATAAAGTCGGCTATTAGACGATACCGTATTCCCAAAAAAGCTAGCTTTTTATTCCTGTCACTGCCGTCTCGGCCTCTCCATTTCCACAGTTCGCGTAGTTGTGTCTGGTTAGTTTCGTGGCCCAAGCGCCAATCGATAAGGCCGAGGTGTATCACTGGAACCAGAGAAATAATCAACCACCACTGATTTGGCGGTTACCGCCGGGACTCCAGGGTTGCAGGCGTAAAGTATTAATTACGTGATAAGATACTTCTCAGTGCGACTGGTGCCCTCACCTGCTGCAAATGCTGCCCCTCTTTCCCCTCCGCATCCCCTCGTTCGCAAGATCCGGGCAATCTCTTCTCTCCAAGTTTTCTCCCTCTACTCGTCCAATCGTCCCTCGCCGCTTCTTCTACGGGCATATCAGTGATACCAAGATGGCGCCGCAGCTGGAGCCCTTTTTCAAGCAGTAGGTACCTCTTGTGGTTGCGGCCTCATGGAATGGAAAAAAAAAAACACAGCCCATTGACTCACGCGTGTTCTATAGGGTCGACGAGTCGTCCGAAACCTTCATCGATCGTATGTACCAAGTTTCAAGCTCGCAGCAATCTTGCATAGTCTCGCAAAAAAAAAAAAAAAAAAAAGCTAGGATAAAAAGTTCCCAGTTGCTGATCTATCTATCTAGGTCTGCGCAAGGCCGTTGCGATCCCCTCCATCTCCGCCCAGGATGAGAACCGAAAGGATGTGTTCCGCGTGAGTTGAGTAAGCTGCCCCTCACAAGACTGAAGGAAGACTAATATGTGCTCGTTGCGTCAAAAGATGGCCCAATTCCTTGCGGACGAACTGACCGCGCTCGGCGCTGAGGTCGAACAAAGGCCGCTGGGCAAGCAGCCTGGCAAGGAGCACCTCGATCTGCCCCCCGTTGTCGTTGCCCGCTACGGTAACGACAAGAATAAGAAGACTATTCTCGTCTATGGCCACTACGATGTGCAGCCCGCTCAGAAGGAGGATGGATGGGCCACCGAGCCCTTCGAATTGACCATCGATGAGAAGGGTCGCATGTATGGCCGTGGTTCGACAGATGACAAGGGTCCCGTTCTTGGCTGGGTTAACGTGATCGAGGCCCACCGCAAGGCCGGTGTTGAGCTGCCCGTTAACCTGCTCTGCTGCTTCGAGGGAATGGAGGAGTATGGATCCGAGGGTCTGGATGACTTCATCCATGCTGAGGCCAAGAAGTACTTCAAGGATACCGATGCCGTTTGCATTTCAGATAACTACTGGTTGGGTACTGAGAAGCCTTGTCTGACCTACGGTCTTCGTGGCTGCAACTACTACTCCATCAGTGTCTCTGGTCCTGCCCAGGATCTCCACAGCGGTGTCTTTGGCGGTTCTGCTCATGAGCCCATGACTGACCTGGTGACCGTCCTCTCGAAGCTGGTGGATCCTCAGGGTAACATCCTGATCCCCGGTCTGATGGATCTGGTTGCTCCCGTGACTGAGGAGGAGAAGTCTCTGTACGGAAACATTAGCTACACCATGGAGAACCTCCACGAGTCCTTGGGAAGTGAGACCGGTATCCACCCCAACAAGGAGCGCACTCTGATGGCCCGCTGGCGGTACCCGTCCCTCTCTATCCACGGTATCGAGGGTGCTTATTCCGCTCCTGGAGCTAAGACGGTGATTCCCGCCAAGGTGATCGGCAAGTTCTCCATTCGCACCGTGCCTAACATGGAGAGCGAGGATGTCAACAAGCTGGTGTTTGACCACATCAAGGCCGAATTTGCCAAGCTCAACAGCAAGAACAAGCTGGATGTGTGGCTGCAGCATGACGGCAAGTGGTGGGTTGCCAGCCCTAAGCACTGGAACTTCTCTGCCGCTAGCAAGGCCGTGCAGCAGGTGTTCGGTGTCGAGCCGGACATGACCCGTGAGGGTGGAAGGTATGCCTCTTCTTTTCCTTATATCTTGAGCCGATTTACTGTCCCTTATATTCCCCTTTTTTTTCTTGCCACGAGGCTAACTGGATCGAATAGTATTCCCGTGACATTGACCTTTGAGCAAGCCACTGGTAAGAACGTCCTGCTTCTTCCCATGGGCAGCTCCACCGATGCCGCTCACTCGGCCAACGAGAAGCTGGACCGCCGGAATTATATTGAAGGAACCAAGTTGCTCGGCGCGTACCTGCACTACGTGGCCGAGGAGCCGGCCACGGAGTAGATGTACATGTTCCTGTGAAAGTGCATGCTCCGAAGCAAGCCAATCAACGAAAGTGTTAGCTTATGAACAATTTAAGCCTCTTCCATATCAAAATCTCATGTGAAGAGGAGCCAGAATGAACACTCTTCATGTAACTTAAAACAATCTCAAACTAAAATAAATACAGGCAAATCTGCGTGCCAAGTAGACGAAAATACAAAGATACACTTCATACAATTTCCGGGACACAGAGCGGGGAGGCCCTGCTTACTCATCTCCCGCGTTTGACGCGAAAGAGCGCGCCGACGCGAGTCAGAGCTTCTTTGTCCGACCAAGTCATCAAAGCCTGAAAATTAATCGTCGCTATGCGCTAGAAGTTTGTCCCTTACATCCAACAGCCTTGAGTGATGCCGTCCATGAAACGTGTACAGGTGCCCTCGGACTCAGACGACCAGAGCGACGGGGGTTCTGAGAGCGCGGCATCGAACTCCACGCCTTATTCGGTAGGTTCTCCCTATGGTCATGAGATTTTTCAGAAGCCGAGGTCACTAAAACAAGGACAGCGAAAACGAGCTCGATTATCCGATTCTCCCGGCTCTTCTGATGGGTCAGAAGCGAACGAGCGACATACCGATTCCCTATCCCCCTCCCCCTCCGCCGATGATGGGTTCCTTGACGACGATGCAGACGAAGAAGAGCTCGAGTTACGCCAGACACAGCTGATTCAAGACAAGTACGCCCAGCTGATCGATGAGGCTAACGTGCCCGCCGAACATGGGATCCTCGAACGTGTCGAATGCTACAACTTTATGTGCCACAATCACTTCTCGGTGGAACTTGGACCCTTGATTAACTTTATCGTCGGAAAAAATGGTAGTGGGAAGAGTGCGATCTTGACCGCAATCACGCTTTGTCTGGGAGGCAAAGCATCCGCCACAAATCGCGGTCAAAGCCTCAAGAGCTTCATCAAGGAAGGGAAGGAGAACGCCTCCATCATTGTTCGAATAAAAAATCAGGGCGAAGGTGCCTACCTCCCTGACGATTATGGCAAATCCATCAGTGTCGAACGACACTTCACGAAGAGCGGCTCGAGTGGTTTCAAGATCAAGAATGCGCAGGGCCGCATTGTTTCGACGAAGAAGGCGGACCTAGATGCCATTACCGACTACTTCTCCCTTCAAATCGACAATCCCATGAATGTTCTCTCGCAAGATATGGCTCGCCAATTTCTTAGCACTTCCAGTCCGGCAGAGAAATACAAGTTCTTTGTCAAGGGCGTTCAGTTAGAACAACTCGACCAGGATTATCGTCTGATTGAGGAATCGGTGGATCAGATTGAGGAGAAGCTCAGAACTCAGGCGCCAAATCTGCGCTTCTTGGAAAACCAGAGGGACATGGCGAAGAAGAAATTGGAGCTTTCTGACCAACAGGACTCTCTGAGGGAACGGATCAGGACTTATCGGAAACAGCTGGCTTGGTCTCATGTGGAGGATTCAGAACGAGTCGGTGACCCTTGTGCAGTCCCCGTATTCGGCCTAGACTAATGACCAGTCCAGATCAAAGATTCATTCTCCAAGGAGTTAGCCAAGGCGGACGAGGGCATTGCAAACGCTGAGGCCGAACTGGGCGTATTCGACGATAGGCTCCAGGCTGTTGACGCCGAGATTGAAACGGCAACAGAACATTGCAACAGAGCAGACAGTGCGCTAGAGGAGTTTCAGAAAGAGAAAGAGCAATTGGACGAAAGGGTGACGGAAGAGTCGAGCAAGGTGCACGAGTCCCAGGTATGCAAGCGGAATCTAAAGCAAACTACGAGGCAGGGAACATGGCTCACACATCACAGGCCGGGCAACGTGTGGTCAAAAGCCACCTCGAAGGCGCGAGGGTCAGACTTGAAGCTGCACAGGAAGAAGTCCAGAATGAAGAGCTTCGTCTCATCGAAGTAAGCAATGGGGCCTACGCTCGAAAGCAGGAGGAATGCGAGGATGCCAAGAATCGCGCTGCTGCTGCGCGGACCGAATATGAGTCGCACGAAAAAGGCCAAGCCTCGTTGCGGGAAGCGGCAAAGACCGCGGAAATGAAGGCATCAGAGGCCCAAAAACAGTGGGAGCTTAAGAAACAGGACTTGGACCAAGCCCAAAGCCGGTTGCGAGAGCTCACCAGGGAAAATGCACAAGCCAAAGACGGCTTTCCTGATAAAATGCAAGCACTGCTCAGGGCCATTCGGCAAGAACACTCTTTCGCAGCCCCTCCAGTCGGTCCTATTGGGCATCACGTCACCTTGCTTAAGCCAAAATGGGCTTCCATTATCGAGAACACGCTTGGCAACAGTCTGTCCAGCTTTGTGGTGAAAAGTCATGGTGATCAAAAGATTCTCAGCAACATTATGAAGCGAGTAGGCTGGTGGGTTTCCAAATCGGGATGGTTTCCAGCGCATGTACCTCTCTAACAGTGGTTGTAGTCAATGCCCGATCTTGGTCGGATCTAACGAGAATATCGACACGACAGACAATGAGCCGGACAGTCAGTATGACACGGTTTTGAGAGTCCTGCAGGTAAGGTAACGCACCCATTATTGGTGAGACAATTCACTAACCATGATTTTATCCAGATCGACAATAATCTAGTTCGAGGTCATCTTATTGTCAGGCACACCATCGAGAAAATGTTGCTGGTCGAGGACTTAGAAAAGGCTTCTACCTTGATGTTCGACGGTCAAAGGCTCAGGAATGTCGTACGATGCTACAGCATTGACTCTAGGGATCAGCGGCGAGGAGTCCATCTCTCTTACAACAAAGAGGGTGCTCCCAGTCAATCGCCTGTACAGCCGTATAAAGGTTATCCCCGAATGAAGTCGGACTTGGCCTCTCAAACTAGGTATGAGCCACACAAATCCCTGTGGGACTGCTTCAGGTTCTAATTTCTACTTGTCTGCAGTCACCAGCGTGAGGTCGTCCAAGACCTCGAACGTCAACTACGTGCTCTCAAACAAGAGTACGATACTGCAAACGCTCATGTGACATCATGCAAGCAAGATTTGGCGGCCTATCTACGGAGGAGCCAAGAATTAAAGATTGAGATGCAGCAACTTGAAGATCATGCCGAGTCGCTCAAAGATGCTCTTGAAAATAACAAGGACGGGCAACTTGACGCCTTGAAAAATGTTGTACGAGCCGCAGAATTAGAATTGGAAACGCATGAGGCGTCGTTCGAGGATGCTAAGATTGCCGTCGCCGCTCTCGTGGAGAACCTCAAGAATCTGCGACGAGAGGTTAAGGAAAAAGTCGCAAAGTTGGCAGCTCTGCGACAGAGTTGCAATGTTGCCAAGGAGGAGAAAGAGCGTGTTCAAGATAAGCGCCATCGGATCATCAGCGACAAGAATGCGGCTATCGCACGAATTGACGACGACAAAAGACACAGGGACCGAATTCGGGAGAAACATGACCAATTGGTCACTCGGATACTCGACTTGACCGAGCAGGCCAGCATCATCACGGAGAGAGTCCCTGTAGATGAAGGCGAGACTACCGACAGCCTCGCAACCAAACTTGACAGGCTCAAAAGGGATTTGCAGCGATATAGTGATCAGTATGTGGTTCCTATGCGACTTGAACCAACAATGCTAATCAGTAATTATTTCAGGCTGGGCGCTTCCAGAGAACAAATTGCCAACGACGCTTCTGCAGCGGAGACCAAGTACAAACTCGCGTTGAGACAGGTGCAAGAGATGACAACGCTGGCTCAGGTACCTCCACCGATTCCAATGCCTCATATTGGTTCTAATGGCGTGCAGATATTCAAAGATACGCTCGATAACCGGAAGAAGCGGTGGGAGATTTTCAGATCACACATCTCGTCTCGTGCCAAGGCCCAGTTCACCTACTTGTTGAGTGAGCGCAGCTTCCGGGGTCGATTACTTGCCAACCATCAAGAGAAGTTGTTGGACCTCCAGGTTGAGCCCGATATCACGAAGGACGATAGCACAGGCCGAGGAGCCAAAACACTCTCCGGTGGTGAGAAGTCATTTTCCCAAATTTGCCTGCTGCTTGCCCTTTGGGAAGCTATGGGTTCGCCTATTCGATGCCTCGATGAGTTGTGCGCAACCTTCCCCCAGCAATGGTTGCTATACTCTGTCTGCTTACACTCTCTCTAGTGACGTTTACATGGACCATATCAACCGAAAGATGGCCATTGACATGCTCGTAAGTCTTCTCATGTTCGAGTTACACTAGCATCTGATTATTGACCGTTCTTTCCTTCTCCAGATGATCGCCGCTCGACGGTCAATTGGACGCCAATTCATCTTGATCACCCCGGGTACCAAGACCGATATCACCATGGCTCCTGATGTCAGGGTAAAGGAGTTGGCAGAGCCGGAACGTGGTCAGACAACCTTAGCATTCCAAAGGTAAAGATCACGGTGGGAATGGATCATATGATTTGTGTGTGTACATAGCGTTTGGTTTTGCATATCTCGGGGCGTATCATGGTTCTCTGCTATAGCTTAATACCCCGTTCAATTCCTCAGCGCAGCTTGACTTTATCCTCATTTATTAGGCTCGACCATAAACGTGTTTTAGTCTTCTGGCGGATCATTATATGTTCGGGTCTGAATCTTGTGTATCTCATTTAGTAGAGCACCCGGCGTAGATCAACATCACGTGATCCCAGCCGGACCAACCGTGATGACCGCCCACTTAAGTCTTTTGGCTTCCCGTGAATCCCTTCACTCTTCTGAACCTCATCTCCTCATTCCAACCTCACCCTCCTCCTTCCTGCCCACGAGAATCTTACTTGATCATACTTTCCAACACAAACTCACTGGGTATCCGCTTTGACCACTCTTCAATCCGATCTACCTCAATCTGAACAACTGCGGCTCTCTGGCTGCAACATCCACCCTCGTCCTTTTCACCCCTCTGCTTTGAGCTCTGCGGGCCTTCCTAAGACCTCTTCTGTCTTCCTTTCTCGGCCTCACACCACATCGACTCTCACAGCCCCCATTCACTCAACAATTTTGTGACTTCAACGCATCATCGTCTCCCACCAAACTGCACCGCCCACAACTCCAAGCCCCGCATCTCTCGTGGACTTCTTTCCTCCACAGCTCCCACTTTATTCCTTTCAATCATCTACAACAACCATGGCTGACGCCCTCGCTTCACAACTCAAAAATACAACCCTCGGGTCAGTCCACTTGTGATTTATGTACTACAGCGGACCTCTCACTGACCACCTTCATCTTAGCAGGGACGGCACCTCAGAAGTCAGACTCCAAGACACACTCAAGCTTCCTCCTAAAGATGCCCGACCCCAGACTGAGGTTGGTTGCTCACTGCTCTTCGTATACATGCCTGCAGAAAAAATTGACTCAATTCACAGGACGTCACGGCCACCAAAGGCCTCGAGTTCGAAGATTTCTATATTAAGCGTGAACTGATGATGGGTATCTTCGAGGCCGGATTCGAGAAGCCATCCCCCATTCAAGAAGAAACGATACCCGTTGCGCTCACAGGCCGAGACATTCTTGCCCGTGCAAAGAACGGTACGGGCAAGACCGCTGCCTTCGTCATTCCTACCCTCGAACGTATCAACCCGAAAAGCACCAAGACGCAGGCTCTGATCCTGGTCCCCACACGAGAGCTGGCTCTTCAGACTTCCCAGGTCTGCAAGACCCTCGGAAAGCATCTAGGCATTAATGTCATGGTCACTACCGGTGGAACTGGTCTCATGGATGATATCATCCGGTTGAATGATGCCGTTCACATCCTGGTCGGTACCCCCGGTCGTGTCCTGGATCTTGCCAGCAAGGGTGTTGCCGATCTCTCTGAATGCCCTACTTTCGTGATGGATGAGGCAGACAAGCTTCTCTCTCCCGAATTCACCCCCGTCATTGAGCAACTGATGTCTTTCCACCCCAAGGATCGCCAGGTCATGCTCTTCAGTGCTACTTTCCCCCTCATTGTCAAATCATTCAAGGACAAGCACATGCGCAATCCTTATGAGATCAATCTGATGGACGAGCTCACCTTGCGCGGTATTACACAGTATTATGCCTTTGTGGAGGAGAAGCAGAAGGTTCACTGTCTGAACACCCTCTTCTCGAAGCTTCAGATCAACCAGTCCATCATCTTCTGTAACTCCACGAACCGTGTTGAGCTACTTGCCAAGAAGATTACTGAGCTAGGCTATTCTTGCTTCTACTCGCACGCTCGGATGCTCCAGCAGCACCGTAATCGCGTGTTCCATGACTTCCGCAACGGCGTGTGTCGTAACTTGGTCTGCTCGGACTTGCTGACCCGTGGTATTGATATCCAAGCGGTCAATGTGGTGATTAACTTTGACTTCCCTAAGAATGCCGAGACCTATCTTCACCGTATCGGTCGTTCCGGACGTTTTGGCCACTTGGGTCTGGCCATCAACTTGATCAACTGGGAAGATCGTTTCAATCTGTACAAGATTGAGCAGGAGCTGGGTACCGAGATTCAGCCCATCCCTCAGATCATTGACAAGAAGCTCTACGTCTACGATTCTCCCGAGAATATCCCTCGTCCCATCTCGAACCCTGCGCAACCCATGCTTTCGGGTCCCCAGCATCCTAGCAATGGAGACCGTCAGCCCCGTCGTCAGCACAACCACCAGAACAATGGGCAGTACTACAACCACAGCCGCGGTCGGGGAGGCTCTTATCGTGGCGGTCGTGGACAAGGCCCGCGTCGTGGCCCCCAGCAACATGACCCCAACAAGCCTGCTCTTGCCCCCAGCCAGGTTGGGCCGAAGCCGCCAGCTCCTGTGTCTTAAAGCTCTCTCGTCATCATAGATTTGGGCCGGGTCTCTTGGGGGGACCTCGCTATTTGACGCCGATGATCCATGCCGCAGCTGCCTCGATGCTTCCTTTTTCAAAATCGTGCGACGCATCGCTTCCTTGTTTTTGTCTGATTCTTTACCCGTTCTTCCCCCGGCTGCCCTTTTTTTATCCTTGTTATGTTTGTTCTCATTCGAGAGTTTCTCTCTCGTAATGGACTATGGCAGCTTCACCCAACGACCCTTCTTCGAAGATGAAGTCTTCCATTGCTTTTCTCGCAAACTCTTCTTTCGTCACGATGCTACGGTACTGGTGCGACATGTGTATCATAATTCCCCCGTTTTGTTCTCCATGGTTTGTTTCCCACTGGTTCCATTGCCATGGATCGCTTTGGGGTTTCTGTTTTGGTTTGAGCATGGTGCATTGTCTGGTGCCGCGAATGCTCTGCGAGCCTGATTTTTCCCATCCCATAAGGTGTACATATGCTCCTTCACCGCGGTAATGCTTCGACAGGTTGCAGGGCGAGTGGCGTTCTCGGGGATTTCCGAATGACTCTGGCGTTCTGGCGGACTCGGCGGAAGCTGATTTTGTTGCGGCTTTCTTCGATCTTCATTTCCTATTCTTATCGCTGCTCGGAGAGAGCCACGACCCTTCTCCACGATGCCGTCGAATTTCACCAGCGGCCGTCTGGTTTCCGATCTTCACTTTGCATTTTACTCTCCCCTCCTCGATTCAGCTCCGGATCTAGGGATCTGTCTACCAGCATCACTCCCAATTCTCATCATTCTCGGGCCAATGACACCTGGCCTCGAAACCGCAATATTTCGACATCTCGCTTATCTCCATGTGGCATATCCTCACACCATGTTTGATGCCTCTCGATGTCGAACTCCTCACCTTTCCTCACAACACTACCAACTCGAAACCCTTGAAATTGAAAAAAAGAAAAAAGACCAAAAAAAAATCGGAGGAGCACTAAGATGTGACGGGCCTAAATAGCATCCTAGTGAATTGATAATGACTCCCTCCGAATATCTTGCCTGCGTTTGGTGTAGACCACGTATTCTAGGGATAGTAGGGATAGCAGTAGATATCCAGGTATACTGTAGAACCTACGAGTTAAGGCGACGTCCGAACGCATCGGATAACGGTAATTGTACACCTCTTCACTGTCCAAGTATACACTGGAGAAAACCACCGAGGTCGGAGTAAACGGAGCTGCGCAAAGTGGGGCTGCGGGCGACCGTAAATGGCGATCTACGAAGCCCGAGGTCCAGCACTTTCAACTCATCATTGTCGCTTGAAATGGCTACGGCGAGCAAGGATCCTACGGCCAAGGTGAGTCCTCGCTCATTGCGATCGTATCCTTGAGACTCATCAGTGAAACCGGACAGCCCAGCGCTCTGCGCTCCATCATTGCGGGCTCCACTGCTGGAGCCGTGGAGATCGGTAAGGATCCCGCATGTGTCATTTCATAGAGGGTGCGAGCTAACCACCAGATCTTGCTAGCAATTACCTATCCAGCCGAGTGTATGCAACCCGCGCCTTGCAGTCCTATAACTCCTCGGCTGTCAAGCTAATTGACGCCTCTAGTTGCGAAAACCCGGACACAACTTAACCGCCGACTAGCCGCGGGCCAGAAACTCCCGTGGCCACCGTTCGGCAAGCAGTGGTATGCTGGATGTACCACGTTGATTATTGGAAATTCGTTGAAGGCTGGAATTCGTGGGTGTGCCCTACTCGGACTGCTAGAAATATCGGCTCATGACATCTACCCAGGCTTCGTTGCGTTTGACGCCATCAAGGCATATCTCCAGGATGAGAACGGCAAGATCTCGGGCCCAAGGACGGTCGTGGCTGGATTCGGTGCAGGATTCACAGAGTCACTTCTCGCGGTGACTCCCTTTGAGAGTATCAAGACTCAATTGTCCGTTCTCCCTCTGTTCGCTCGACCTGGACAACACATTGCTTACATGGCGTCACTGGTAGGATTGACGACCGGAAGGCTGCCAAGCCACGCATGAATGGATTCCTTCACGGCAGCAAGATTATCTGGCAGGAACGCGGAGTCCGGGGCTTCTTCCAGGGCTTCGTTCCTACTACTGCTCGTCAGGCCGCCAACTCGGCCGTCCGCTTCACCAGTTATACTACTATCAAACAGTTCGCTGAGGGCTACGTGGCTCCCGGAGAGAAGCTCGGAACACTCGCCACCTTTGGTATTGGTGGATTGGCGGGTATTATCACGGTGTATGTGCTGGCAGCTCGACTAAAATGACGTATTTTTTTACTCGGCTTGCTAACTTGTGATGATTCGACTAGCTATGTGACCCAGCCTCTCGACACGGTGAAAACAAGGTTAGTATCACAGCTTAGCGCATAAGGCTTTCTGCATAAGTTGCTGACCTTCTCTCCAGAATGCAATCACTTGAAGCCAGCAAAAACTACAAGAACAGCTTTGTCTGCGCCGCCAGAATCTTCAAGGATGAGGGCGTCTTGACTTTCTGGTCGGGAGCCATGCCCAGACTGGCCCGATTGATCCTGAGTGGTGGTATCGTGTTTACCATGTGCGTCGCTTTCTGGTGCTTGTTCTCGAGTGATATGCTAACAACAGCTGGCAGGTACGAAAAATCTATGGAGTTGATGGATCTCGCAGATCCCGAGCGAAAGTACTTTTAAAAGGTACCTTGGCGGAAAGTATGTATGTGCCTTTTAGCATAGATGGGGTGCGAGGTTTTTATTTGCCGTTGGAATAGAGTCAATATCCACCAGAATGCGTCGCTATAAAAGTACATGGTATCATTGTTTTTTTAGTGTACAACGTGATCGGCCGTGCGATGTTTTTTAGTTCAGGCCTTGTGTTTCTTCACTTCTTCTTCTCCGTCTTCTCCTCCTTTAGCGTCTCTTCCGCTACCATGGCCTCAACCTCGCGGTCAGCCATCCAAGTGCGCACACTTTCCATGACCGTCTCCAAGCCGTCACCACCATCAAGGACACCGTCAAGGTTGTGAATCGTGGTGCCGCTGCGATGGTCCGTACAACGGCTCTGGCCATAGTTATAAGTTCGAACCTTGTCCCCACGGCCCATCCGAGCCACTCCACCCATCGCACCCCGGCGCAACTGAACCAATTCCTGCTCGCGGGCTTCCTGACGGGCCTCGGCGATTTTGGCTCGTAGCACCTGCCACGCCCTCCGTCGATTGGAATGCTGGGACCGTTCATCTTGCATGGAGACAACCGTGCCCGTCGGAATATGAGTCAATCGAATGGCGGATTCCGTCTTGTTCACGTGCTGCCCACCGGCACCGCTAGCTCGCATCTTTTCCACGCGCACTTCTTGCGGGTCGATGTAGTAGTCACTATTGGGATCCTCAAAGTTAAGGGCGTTGTCCGAGCCGCTGCCACTCTCTGGGAAACTTGGCAAGACCATTACGCTGACGGCGCTCGTATGTGTACGACCCTTGGTTTCCGTCGCCGGTACTCTTTGGACTCGGTGTACCCCGGACTCGGTCCGCATAATATCGTATGCGCCGTCCGCCTCGATCTCGATCACCGCTTCGCTCAGGCGATCCTCCGAAGCTCCATCCTCGACATCCTGTTTCAAAATCGTCGGGCGGAGACCTCGTCTAGAACAGAAAGACATGTACATCCGGAGCATCTCGAATGCAAAGAGGCCTGCCTCATCTCCTCCGGCGCCAGGGCGAATCTCCACGAGACATGGTAAATCCGCGAATGGGTGCCGAGGGATCAGGGCCTTTTTGAGCCGGTCTGATATCGTGGGTAAAGCCTCGCGGCTAGACTCCAGGTCTTCGATTGCGAGGGATCGTAGTTCTTCGTCGGTATCGGGTTGCTCTAGGAGAGACTTTAGTTCGACGATAGACTCATTGGCGCTGTCCCATTCTTTCAAGACGGTTGATACGGGGGCGATTTCGCCGGCTCGTTTGGCGACTTTCGCATCGAAGGCTTCTGCCAATTTGTCGGAGAGTTTTGCATGTTCGGCGGCGAGCAATCGCGCTCTCGTCAAGAGGACCGGAGACAGGCCGGAGTCTGCGGCGACTGGGCAAATTAGCGGAGGTACATTCGGGGAGTGGGTTGGACAGTGCTTTGGAAGAATTGAGTCTTTACCGGCATGCGCAGCTCGAAAGAAAAAATGATGGCCCAGTCTAGCAGGGCGCCAGAATAATCGGCTGCATTGGAGCATCCTTCTTTTGGGAGGTTCATGAAGAAAGTCGGTCGAAGAAGATAAGATCGGAGATATTGCGGGCAGCGCGTGTAATTTAATCGTACGGTACGCGTAAAGGCCACCCAACGGACTTTCGAGGGTCTTCGACTTGCATTCCATCGCTGACTTGTCCTCAACGCCTTCGCATTCTGATTTGTTTCTTTAAATCCTCCCAACCCAATATCACCCAGGCCATGTCCACGGGCCTCAACTAGATCCCCAACAATGCGCTTCTCGCTTGAAACCGTGACGGCCGTCCTGGCTTGCCTCTCCACTACTTATGCGCTCCAGATCCCTCCCGATACGCCGCTCTCCGAATTGATCTCGTCCGCCAAAGCGCATCTCGCAAAGGGCTCTCCGCGAGATGCTCTCGTATACTTTGATGCCGCTGTCTCGCGCGATCCGACAAACTATATCACCATCTACCAGCGCGGAGCTGCTTACCTGTCCATTGGCAAGAACACTCAGGCCTCGGAGGACTTCAACCGAGTCCTGGAACTAAAGCCCGATTTCGAGGGCGCTTTGCTCCAGCGATCTCGTCTCCAGGCTAGGTCTGCTCACTGGAAGGAAGCTCTACAGGATTTGGAACGTGCGGGGAAGAAGGACTCGGTCGAATACCAGGAGATCAAGGCCGCGCGGGATGCAGCAGCCCTGGCCCTGGCCGCGGAGAAGAAGGGAGACTGGGAGGCCTGTGTCATGCAGGCTGGGGTCGCCATTATGAAGGCGAACACGGATCTGTCATTGCGACAGGCTCGCGCACACTGCCGGTTCGAGAGGGGTGAGTTGGAGGAGGGTGTGAGCGATCTTGCCCATGTTCTACAGATCTCCCCGAACTTGGTGGAGCCTCATCTACAGATGTCCTCCATGCTGTTCTATGCTCTTGGTGATAGTGACCGTGGTCTCGCTCAAATTCGCAAGTGTCTACATACCGATCCCGACTCGAAGGCTTGCAATCGTCTCTATAAACGAGAACGTCAGCTTGCAAAGTCATTGGGTAAACTGCACAGTGCCCTGGAGGCGCGCAAGTTCAGTAATGCCGTGAAGTTGATGGTCGACGACGGAGAAGACACCGGGCTGATCACCGATGTGAAGAATGATGTCGCCGAGGCGAGAAAAGCGGGCCATATCCACCCAGCGGCGTCTAATTATCTTTATGTTTTCCTGGTTGAGAAGACGTGCGAGTCATACCGAGAGGTTTGTATCCAGTCCTTTCGACGACCGGGTCCACCATGCTAACCCACATCGATAGATGCGTATGCTCAAAAAGGCTGGTCCTTACTGCGCCGAATCCCTCCAGCTAGTTCCATATTCTCTCCATGGCCTACTATACAAGGCCCAGACTGAACTGGACGGCGATCAATTTGAAGAAGCGGTGCGAACATTGAACACTGCCCGGGAGCATCACCCGCACGCCCAAGAAGTCCAGTCCCTACTCCAGAAAGCGCAAGCCCTGCTGAAGCGGTCGAAGCAAAAGGATTATTACAAGGTCCTCGGAGTTAGCCGGGACGCGGACGAGCGGACGATCAAGCGAGCATACCGCCAATTGATGAAGCAGCACCACCCCGACAAGGCTCACGCTCAGGGCATACCCAAGGAAGAGGCCGAGAAGAAGATGGCCTCCATCAACGAAGCATACGAAGTCCTGTCCGACTCTGAACTGCGTACACGATATGACAATGGAGACGATCCCAACGATCCCGAGTCGCAGCAGCGAGGCAATCCTTTCCAGGGAAGTCCCTTTGGCCATGGAGGTGGCCAACAATTCTTCTTCCAGCAGGGTGGCCAGCAGTTCAAGTTCGGTGGTCAAGGCTTCGGGGGCTTCCCCTTCCGCTGATTTTACCTTTTCATTCGTGTCACTTTATCATTGTAGAACATAATCGCGGTGTTTCTAGGAGTAAATACGCCAGTTCTTCCGCTGCCCGTTGGAGGGCATTCCAGACTGGCCGTCGTCGTTTTCCTCCTGAGTCGTTTCTTTTTTTTTTCGTAGTTACCAATTCATAGTAAATGGTCACAATTCAGCCGCAGCATTGTCTGGTTCTTTGACTATCCGAGTACGAGTAGGATAATTTCCATTCCTTGCCTGTAAAGGCTTGCATTCTCTGCCTAGGAAACTCTGTCCATCGCTGTCACTTTTCCTGCAACACCACGAATCCCCTCCAGTCTCAATTTCACGATCGGGGCGCATCCGTCAGCGGCACGTAGCTCACCTGGAACACTTTCTCCTTATGAACTGACCCATCCGCCTTTTTATCCACTACCCATATATACTGGCCTCCACCGAGACCCAAGCTGCTCAAGCTGGTCCCACTGCTCTCCGACTCGACGGGGATGAACAGTCGTCCGGGGGCCCGCAGCTGCTCGATCAGCACTGGGTGGAGCTCCTCTGCCGCCGCGCCGACGTGGATAGCATCGTACGGGGCATCCTCTTTCCAACCCAGACGTCCGTCTGCCGTGATGAATTTCACTTGTCCAGACTCCTGAAGTCGGCGACCTTGCTCTGATTTATTCATGTTGGATTTCGCTAGTTCGACCAGTTCGGGGATGTGGTCGATGCCAACCACCAGGCCTGGGGTGGCGCTGCCGGGGCGGCCTGTTACCAGATTCGCCAGGACGTGTGTGAGGTATCCCGAGCCGGATCCAATGTCTAGTACTCGAGATCCAGGCTGGAGATAGTCAATTAGATATTCACATGCGTGGCCATGCATGTGCGGTGCGGAGATGGTGGCTCCGTGCCCGATGGACTGGGGCGAGTCCGAGTATGGCCGCGATGGCGCGTAGTGAGCGCGATCAACCTGGGAGAGTCGTGTCAACACGCGTTTAGATGATCTAGATTGTGGTGGTTTAAAGAGTGGGATGGCAGCTCACGCCTATCATTGCTTCTTTGACTCGTTCATGCTTGATCAGTCCGGATTTACATAGGTTCTCGATCAACTCGGTGTTGGTGGATCCGGAGCAGCGCCACGCCATGGTGAAGGTCCTTGTGGGGCGCCAGGTAAGTTGTTGAGCTTGTCGTCGAAGTCTATGTAGCATGTAGGGTTTAAGGTGTCAATAAACGAGGAGACTTGGAGCCGTCTTTAGAGCATTTGGTGATGATTAATGAGATCGTTGGAGGCGACTGACGTTGTGACGCCATGCTCTCTTCATCCTCCACGTGATGACATCTCAACCGTTCTTCTCCCCTGTCTTTGATGTGATTGTTTTTAAGTGGTATCTTTTGAGGTGCATCAACTTTCCAGTGTGATTTGATCAATGGCAGTTTGGTCGAGGATAATGCATAGATGCTGCGACAATGTGTTCTTGAGGCATCATAATAGGGTGTGCATTACAGTAGATCTATGAATATATATATCTCCACATAACGACTACTAAGTATATACTAAACATCCATCTCGTACGCGCAATAAACCATCAAAGGGTTAAATATCTTGATTCTCTTGAGCTTAACTAAGTCTAGACATACAAGGTACAGGTACCTATACTCGTAATTTCCACCAGCAAACAAAGCCTTGTCATCATAGTTCCCCTCGATAAGTTCAAAAGTGCAGATGTCTGTCACATGATCCAGCGACTAAGCAAAGGATGACTCATCATACGACCATGGTTAAACCAAGAGCACGTGACACCCGATTCTATCCTCAGTCAACAACACGTGACCATCCAACTATCTCCGATACCATCATCTTAACTCCGTCTATCAAATCAAACTCGCATCTCGCCATGGCCAGTGTGGGAACTCCCGACGTCCAAGATGACGTCGATCTCATGATGCTGGATCAGCTGGCATGCGTGGCAATTGACAAGATAATCGCTACAGCCAATACCCCCTTCCCTAGCTCCGAACTGCAAGATGAGGTGAACTGGACGATCACACCTGTGAAATGTGAGTTTTGATCAGCCTTGATTGCTTCTACCTGCGTTCTTCAAGTGTACGCTCTAATCATCGTAGCCCTGAAAGCTGTGATTGCCACCCATCAGCCGGACAGCCCCCTGCCGTTGGACCTTGCGATCAAATTGCGGATTTTCGACTTGGTCTGTCTTCTCTGGAACTACCCCCACCCGGACACGACACGTCGCGCCCAGGGTGACAAAACCCCATACCTAAAGGATATCGGGGATCAGTTCCTGGGACTGGGCTCGCTCGCGGTTTCCAAGGTCTCCGAGACGCGTTGGTTCGACCTAGGCGCCCGTTTCATGATCCAGGCCGCGCTGGAGGAGCATTTCTTGGAGATCACACCCCGAGGAGCACTCCGCACCTTCTACTCATGGCACCCGAATGGTGACCAGCGAATCTCCAGATGGTCGGATGTCCGCGAACGCTATGCGGCAGACATACCAGACTCCCCGGATGACGAGGCCAGGTGGGAATCGCTCTACCACGGGTATTCATGGGCCCCGTTCAAAGCTACCGTGATCGACTTCCTTTTCGAGCTCATGACCACACTCGACCCGCCTATCCTCATTCAGCTCGAACAAGGCAAGCTCGGTAGCCTGACCCCTGCTGAAACTCAACAGCTGAAGCAGCGGATCGGCTGGCGCTGAACGACCCACGTGCTGCCAATTGAGAGAAACGCATATTCCTAGGTGAATCGGAAGGGAGGGGCGGGGAGGGTGGTGGGTGGCGGTGAAAATCGCCCGAAAGCCTCTCCATTCCGATTGCTATTTGACACCCCCAACTCGAGCGGGCGGACGGGCCACAGTCTGCTAAGACTCGAGGACCTGCGTCCACCAGGAGTGCGCACAGAAGAGAATCACGACCACCCTTTGTTCCCCTCTTTGCCCACGAGAATTCATCCCTACACCGAATCTAAATGTCCGGAGCACGACGACCGCGCAAAGAAGAGGCTACGCCGAATGGGCTACTCCAAAACACTACACACTCAAAAACACCTCAACTGGGTAGGGTCAGTGACATGGCAGTAATATTTTAGAATTCGAATAATCTACAGAGGGTGACAATGGCGGCTCTAAGCACGACAGACGCAAATCAACCGATAGGGTACCGAGGGTGGAATCGTTTAACCGAGGAGCATGCGGCGGGGGTCCTCAATGTACTCCTTGACCTGTGAGGGGGATGAGAATCTGGTTCAAATATGAAGCGTTCCGATTTGGATATCCAACAACGTACCTTGACAAGGAAAGTGACAGCCTCACGGCCATCCAAGAGACGGTGGTCGTAGGTGAGAGCGAGGTACATCATCTGAGGTTGGCAAAGTATCAATATCCAGTGACCACAATGGGGAAGGGGAAGAGGAGCGAGAGAGGGCTATCTTACCGGGCGAATCTCAACCTTGCCATTCACAGCGACGGGCTTGTCCTTGATGGCGTGGAGACCGAGGACGGCTGAAGAAAAATAATTTGTTAGTCACGCTTGAAGGAAGAATTTCTGGGACGAGAGAGATGCCTACCAGTCTGGGGAAGGTTGATGATGGGAGTGCCCATCAGGGAGCCGAAGACACCACCCTGGAGGCTGTGTTAGCAAAGATAGTCCTATCATTACAATAATCAAAGACCTCAACTCACGTTGCTGATAGTGAAAGTACCGCCGGCCATATCCTCAATGGTCAGCTTGTTGTCGCGAGCCTATCGTCCAGTGTTAGTAGATCGTACTCGTCTTATTACATAGAGCACCTCTCTGCTTTACCTTCTTGCCCAGCTCGGCGATCGACTGCTCAATGCCGACCAGGTCCATGGTCTCGGTGTTGCGAACAACCGGGGTGACCAGACCCTTCTCGGTAGCAACAGCAACACTGATGTCGACGTAGTCACGGTAGACGATGGTGTCACCGCCGTTGGGGCCCTCAATGGAGGCATTGACGGCGGGGACGTCCTTCATGGCCAGCACGCAAGCCCGGGAGAAAGCGCTCATGAAGCCCAGCTTGACACCGGTCTTCTTGAGAACATCATCCTTGTACAGCTTGCGGAACTCCATCAGAGAGGACATGTCAACCTCGTTGAAGGTAGTCAGCGAAGCAGCAGTGTTCTGGGACTGCTTCAGACGCTCAGCAATGCGCAGACGCATGCGGTTCATCTTGACCTATTGATCGGAAATCGTGGATTAGTCCCGCATCACTAAACAGAAAGAAGAGTCGAGGGTCTGAACATACCCGGCGCTCCTCGCGACCGCCAATGGCGGGCGTGGACTCGGTAGCAGCAGGCTTGGGGGACTCGGCCTTAGCAGGGGCCTGCTTGGGGGGCGCAGGCTTGGTCTCCTTAGGCTTCTCAGGCTCAGCGGCAGTCTCCTTTGGCTTCTCAGTAGAAGCAGGCTCCTTGGGCTGCTCGGAAGCGGTCTCCTCCTTGGCCTCGGGAGCAGCACCGCCAACCTCCAGTCTGATGAGATCCTGGCCGACGGTAACGGTGTCCTCCTCGTTCACGAGAAGCTCCTTGATAGTGCCGGCTTCCGGGGCGTTCACGGAAACGTCAATCTAGCGCGAGAGGTCCTACTGTCAGACTCTGTAGATCGAGAGCAAAGGGTCATGCTAGGGAATAAATCTACCTTGTCGGTCTCGATGGTGGCAATCTCCTCATCACGCTCAACATAGTCGCCAACCTCTGGAAGTAGATTGTCAATATTTCTGGGACCCAAACAAGTTTTCCCCGGTCGGAGGGCTAGGTCTGCATACGTTTAGAGAACTGCTTCAGAGTACCCTCTGTGATCGACTCGGCCATCTGGGGGACCTTGACGATGGAATCGGCTATATCGCATGGACATTAGTCTCATGTTATGTTCCAGAAATGGAACGGGGGTTCGGCGTAGCTACCGTAGGTGCGAATCTGGGAGCCCACGAACGGGGCGAGGTTGCGCGAGACATTGATGCTGTTTGTATCCTTGATCAGTATATGGAATGCGATTCTTAATGGCGCATATTCTTACCCCGAGGATGCCTGCAGCAGGCCAGAGGCCCTGGGGAAGGCATTGGAGCGAGTGAGGGTGGACAGGCTCTGGGCTCCGCTAAGCCGGCTGGTAGCCCGAGTGGCCCGGGACAGAGTCGTCAGGCGCTGGCCGGAAAGGCGCACGAGAGGGAGTCGAGCAGCCATGATGTGTAGAGGGACCGAGTTCACAAACAATTAAAGTCACAGATATCTCCCAAAAGCGAGGTTGGGAGGAGAGAAAGCGGAGAGTGGTTTTCAGGAGAGAAAGAAAAAGGCCTCAAAAACGCCCTGTTGCTGTTACGTAGCCGAAGCCAACAGCTCCCGAAGCCGAGATGCGGGAAGAGCCCCGGTCACGGAGTAATATTCTTACGCCTGGTGCTACGGTGGCCCGCAGCCACCCAAATGGCACTTTGCAACGAATGGGGACGCCGAGAATAGTCAACCCGCAGGCCTTCACATCCTCGGACGGCCTTGGAACGAATCGTCACTGTCCCACGAGACCCTCGACCCTACGATCCTTACTCCTCAATTATCCCGCTCCAATTGAGCTTCCGACTACATCATGTCTGCCAACACCGTGAGGTGAGTGCCATGCGACCGCTACCGGGCGCGCAATTCCACTCCATAATGAAACCTCCACTATCGTCACCACACCACCCATTCCCAGGTATCAGGACAGTCTAACTGACTTTACGACTCTAGGTCGCTCTACCGGCGGTCCTTGAAGTTGTCGCTGGACTGGGCTGTCCAGCGATCCATCTGGCGCGGACAGGCCGTCTACATCCGCTCCCTCTTCGATGCCAACAAGGACGTCCGTGATCCTCGCCAGCAACAGGTATGCGACCATAACCAAGCTTGGATCAAACGACCTACTGACGGGATATCAACATCCAGATTTTGCTGCGCGAGACCGAGAAGCTGTTGAACGAGTGGAAGCACCCCGACCCCTACCGGGCTCCCACGGCCCCTGGTGGTGCGTACCGACCGTCTGATATTGGCTTGTCGCGTGTACAACTAACCGTGTTTTGTAGGAAACAAATGGGAGCGCAACATTCCCGCTCCGATTCTTCCATGTACGTCGAATTGACCGACCTTTCCCAATGCACGAGTTCAGGCTGACCATATATCGCAGATGCGGCGCCCCCCTCTGCCCACTAATGGGCTGGGTTTCGAGCATGGATATCATTACATTGGGGGTTTGCGAATCAATTTTCTCACACTATTTGTCGTTTTTTCAAGTTACAGTCATGGGCACATGTAGATACAATGAAAAAAATAAGCCTATGTCGCATTTCAAATCCAGTTACAGTTCAGGCTTGCGCAATCTGATAGATTTCAGAAGACTAATGCTCTCGTAATTCTGACGATTGCGATGCCACTTGACCGGGGAGCAAATATTACGCCACGAATGCTACGTTGATATCAAAAGATATGAATGCAAAGAAAGTATAAGTGGAGGACCTAGAATCTTTTCATTGATATCGGGCGTTTGCCCGGGACTAGTTATCCGAAAAAAAGAACTTGAAATCCCTCGAACAAGCTTGAAGTTCGTCGGTATCATTCCATGCCCGTAGGCATAATGTACAACCTGGAGGAAACTGATGAAGAAAAGAGAAAACGCAGAGCCATAACGTGCCCGTCCCATAACCCCATTATCGTGTCAATGAACCAACCCACGCCGGAAAGAAAACAAAAAGAAACCCGCGATAAGAAAAAACCGTTTACAGCTCCTGGCTGCCCTTGCCGGCCTTGGGGGTCTTCTTGGGGAGGAGGTCTGGAAAAAAAGAAAATGTTAGTTGATGACGATCAGTGATCGGAAAATGCTAGGAATAGACGTACTCTGGTGGATGTTGGGGAGGACACCACCCTGGGCAATGGTGACGTGACCCAGGAGCTTGTTCAGCTCCTCATCGTTGCGGATGGCAAGCTGGAGGTGACGGGGAATGATACGGGTCTTCTTGTTGTCACGGGCAGCGTTACCGGCCAACTCGAGGATTTCGGCAGCCAGGTACTCGAGGACGGCAGCCAGGTAGACGGGGGCACCGGCACCAACACGCTGAGCGTAGTTGCCCTTGCGGAGCAGACGGTGGACACGACCAACGGGGAAGGCCAGACCGGCCTTGGAGGAACGGCTATAATTGATTGATGTCAGAATGAGTCGTGGATTCGAGAATAGAAGATCGGGTTTTTGACGCGATCATCGAAAACAAAAAGGGAGGAAGAGCTTACGACTGCGCGTTCTTGGAACCGCTAGCCTTGCCGCCGGACTTTCCGCCAGTCATTTTGAATGTGGGTTGTGAAGGTTGGGGGGTTTGAAGAAAAAAGGGTGTTGAGTTGATGGGGTGGGAGTTGAAGATGGATTGGAAGAGCGTTGTCGTACGTGGTAAAGGAGGGGAGGGGCGTCAAGATGGAAGTAGAGGGGAGCTTTATAACAAACGCGGCGGGTGACGTTGGGCGGGCATCAACCAACGGGACTCCAGATCACGCTCTCGCTTAGCGGGATCGGCCAATGATACGGCGGGATCACGACCAATCCGCGTTGTGTTGATAGGCGGGTGCATTCCAAATCAGGAATGGTCCCGTATTAATTACACAATACCACCCCGTACAGGGGACCCGCGTGATCGCCCCTCCCATTTAAATATACACCCCCCACAGTCGGACGCGTCGACCCCCCCTTAATCATACAGATCATACCAATTTCTTACCGTATTGAAATTCCGGCTCTTTTGTGCCCTTCTGGATCAACGACCCGTGGGCGGTCGCGTATATAAATCTTGTTCCCCCCCTCACCACCGCGCTTTACTTCTTCCCTCTCCATCTCTGCTTCCAACCCTTCACGCTCCATCCATCTTCCAACTTTCTCCCAACACTCCAACCCCCTTTACCAACTCCATCATCAACAATGGCTGGCCCCAAGGCTGCTGAGAAGAAGCCCTCCACCGCCGGCAAGGCTCCGGTTGGCGGCAAGGCCCCCGCTGAGAAGAAGGAGGCTGGTAAGAAGACTGCCGCCGCCTCTGGCGAGAAGAAGAAGCGTGGCAAGACCCGCAAGGAGACCTACTCTTCCTACATCTACAAGGGTGAGTTTTCCGATCCGGCTTGGGCACTTTCGCGATGTCCATTCTCTTGACGCGACGCGTATCTGACTTTGTTATTCTCTCTCCAGTCCTCAAGCAGGTTCACCCCGACACTGGTATCTCCACCCGTGCCATGTCCATCCTGAACTCCTTCGTCAACGGTATGTGCTTCGTGTCTTATAATCCGACCTTGCGCGTTTTTGCGCGTTTTGCTTTCTTCGGTTTCTCTAATATGCCTTTCCTACAGACATCTTCGAGCGCGTCGCCACCGAGGCCTCCAAGCTTGCCGCTTACAACAAGAAGTCCACCATCTCTTCCCGAGAGATCCAGACCTCCGTCCGCCTCATCCTTCCCGGTGAGCTGGCCAAGCACGCCGTCTCTGAGGGTACCAAGGCCGTCACCAAGTACTCTTCTTCCGCCAAATAAGCGGTTTTCTGTTCCTTTTCGATTTATTGCGACTTTGCTCTTGTTTTTCCTGCCTCCTGATCTTTTCCTGGGCTCTCGGAGGCGGTTCGGTTATGGGTGTTTTGCGGGTTTTCTAATGTGTCATGGGATGGTATCAATTTTCTTTTCCCCGATGGGCGACTTTTTCTGATGGTTACTACTCGATGCGCGTGGTGTAACATAACAACTCGGGTCTGGGGCTGGTTGCACGGTTTAACCTCCTCCTATCTAGAACGCGAAATTCCAAATGCTTGATTGCATTAACACACTATTTATGCCTTTTCTTCTCTCTCTCCTATTTTCTAGAAAGGTGTATACACGGTCGCAGCTAACAGTGGGTTCTTTGGTCTCATATCTGGTGGGCTTGTTTCCATGTTCTAGTGGCGCATATGCGGCTCCACGCGGCTCCAAATCCGCCTCTATTGCAATTATCTACACCAGTACCTCCCCATCGGAATCGGAGTCATCCAAAACTTCCACTTCGTCCAGCGCCTCCTTTCGGCCCTGTTCTGCGTCGATAGGCGGTTCCCCCGTGATGAGATGGATGACCGGCTTCCCTGTCGTGGACTGGATTCGAGCTTTCCAATCGGCCCAATCAGCATCATTTTTAATCAAAAATCCAATCAGCATGCTGGGATCCATGTCCTTGATGTGAATTCGCCGCAGTCGACGGGTGTGGTAAGAATCCAATTCTTCCGTGCTATATGGTTCATTTGGGCGATAAGGTACTGCCGGGCGTGTGGAGTGTGGGTCGAGGAAGAACAGGTGGGAGTTTTGCGACCCCACAAAATAATGTGAAGCAGATGGGCGGCCTCTTTTTTTGAGCGAAACGACGCTGGTCAGCTTTCGCAAGTTCCACGTAGATTTCCCTTTTCTATATATGTGTGGATCTGGTACTTACCCAGCGATGCCCACAGATTGCGGATACTGCAGAGCAGCCTGTAGTCCATCCCAATAGACTGAGGTGACATGGTCGATCCCCAGGCGGACACCCATGAGGATCAGCGTTGGTTGAATTCGTCCGCTTTGGTCGCTGGCGAGTCGAATGAATTGATCTTCGTAGACGTCGGACGTATCCTTGGTCACGTAGACGCGGAGCATTGGTGGTTCTTGTGTATTTGATAATAATCTAATACATATCTGGTCAGCTTTCTGGGATCTATTGAGGGGAGCGAGTCGCGATGCTCGTGGGAGGTGTACTGACTGGATACATCGAGCAGTGGCCGAGGGTCCAAACCACTCCCCGGGGTATTTCCCACATGATTCGGCTCCGCACTGGACAAAGCGATGTATAGAGAATGGGGCTTCTGGATGATCTGCAAACATGGCCAACAGCTTTGACTCTTCTTCGATGCGCTGCCCTCTTCGCCATTCTATGATCATGATCAGCATTCCCTGTCTCGGCCATCGTGGCTTTGGAGTGGAGGCTTGCTCACCTCGTCCAAACTCAAGAATACACAAGGCGTTTGCTAGTAGACCCTGTCCCGATCGAATCATGCAGCCCCACCCGGTATCGGATGTGAAGCCCTGTGAGTCCATGAGCTGGCTTCGGATGCGTACTCCCAGCGTCATCGAGGACGTGGCCTCGGGGTTATTGCTGCGCGGGATGGGAGCAAAGTGTGAGCGGTAGGTCATCCATGTTCGTGATTCGAAGTCGGCCAGGAAGGCCTCGGGCCAGGCACTACCCGTGTCGTTCACACCGTCTGTTGTACGTTCGGCACGATCCGACTGGTCTAGCAGGCGGATGGATAATGATTAGTGGCTCTTCTTGGGTGCCATAGAGGATGCTCGGTCTCCGGATCCCCGGATGTGACAGCTACATACCTGTACCATGAGAGTCCGTTGGCTGTGTGGGTGTGTATTGTTGGCCAAGACACCATATTGGGGTTTCTGGTGCAGTGTCATTCTTGGGTTCGGGGTCCCAGAAGTATTGTACGATACGCTTGCATTTCTCCAAGTCGACCCCTGTCATCTCCGCGGCTTTGTTTGTCACTTCGGAAACGAGAGTGGGGGTTGGCAAGAGGGAAGGTTGAGGGCAGGCGGTCTTGATGAGGGGGAGGTTCACAAAACGCGGAGGATGTTGCGGACGGTTGAGATATATATATAATCAGCGGAGTAGATATCTCCACCTCCTCCGAACTCGCGAGAACGATCGGAAAATCGAGATCTATAGGAATTATTGGATTCCCAGACCAAATAGAAAAGAGGATAAATTCGAAGTCGAGACTACGAGATGAGCCAAGAGACAAATAGAAGAAAGAGAGGGTCACAGGCACCCATCACGACGTCACCGCGTCGATCAGGCTTATCTTCGAAAGCGATAGCAAGGACCACAGTTAGAGAGACAGCTATAGTGAAAGCTCAAGATGCCCCGTCGAGCGCCAAAACAGGGGCATCAAATGCGATACATTAATTCTAACCCGATACTCAACAACTTTTGATACTCCTGAGAGATCCCTCCATACATACCGTACTCAAAACCCTGTCTATCGTGGTCCACCGCCCGGCCCCACTCGCGCAGAAAGTCCCGAGTCCAAAAGATCCGACTTTCCCCTCTCCAGACTTTCTTTCTCCTCCACCCTCCCCTCAACTCCCCCTTTCCCCACGCCCACATGGCCCGCCATGGGAAATCCAAGGCCCGGCCCAAAAAGCCACCCCCGAGGGTCACCACAAGTAATAACTCCAAGCTCTCCAACTGCCCGTATCGCTAGCTAATCGTCGGTGCCAACAGTGTCGCCACACCGGTTTACCATGCAACAGGAGGCGCGCAACACCGAAACGCACACACGAGACTGGTTGAGCAGTAATCTCCGTCATAAGGCTGTGAAGTTCATCAAGGCTGGGGAATTGGAACGGAGTGAATTTGAGACCGTCGACCAAGCAGGTCAAGAAAACAATGACCTGGCCGGAGACGACCCAAAGAAGGCACCACCCCCGTCGGCCAGCCCACCAGAGCCTTCGCAAGAGGATCTCGAACGCGGATTCTTTTTTGACGCCACACCACAGGCTGTGACCGACACGGGGCTCCCAGACCCGATCCCACGAACCCACCTCAGCGACCTCGATGACTCGAGCGAGGACGAAGTGGTGTTCACAGGGCGGGGGACTGGTGCGAGGCCGATCGTGATCGAGACCAGCCAGGAAGAGCTCAACGTACTACTGCAGGTACCGTCAACAGAGCCGCCCACGACACAGCGTGAAATGGCCCCAGTAAACGCTCAAACTCATATTCACCGATCGAAGCCGAGCTACGACCGTGCACAGTCACACGCACGGGATACACGCAAATGGACACGAGAAGACGAGGACCAGATGTTGGCGGACTATATCGCCAACATGGATTCTGACTACCACGAGGACGCCTACTGTCGTATGCAGGTAGAGCTCGAAGGTGGCATTGACGTTGCCCAGGCTGCGACAGGCTCAAAGGACGAAGCCGGCGAACCACTGCCACACTTTGATCGTACCACGCTGGAGTCAGTTATTAAGGAGGAACAAGTTCAAAGCTCGATTGATGGTAAGTGCACTAGACCCAGAGCTGGATATCAAATCATCCCTAAAGTAGAAGACCCAGTGCTATCTCGGATGCACCTGGATACAGAAACAGATGAAGTCCCCGACTCGAGTGATGATGAGGATGATGACGACGAGGAGGACGAGAAGGATGAGGAGGACGAGGGTGACATGAATCCGGATTCGACAGATGAATTCGACGTGGATTCCGATGATGAGGATCTGGATACAGAATTGCTGGAAGATTTGGCGATCAACTATCTTGCGGACAAAAAGAAAGGCGGACGTGCTGGGAAAATCTCCTTTGCATCGGCTACGGCATTCGCAGATGCTCTCGAAGCAGACCCCTACTACGGTCTCGACATGATGGATTTCAATCGACCAAGCCTGCAGAAGAAGGGCAAGGGCAAGAAACCACCTGCGTTGGACCTAATGTTCTCCGACAGCGACCTCGAAGCCCACCTTCACGAAGTGTGGCAAACCGATCGCAAGAAGAAGAAGGCAAAGAAGAAGGAACGAGAAGAGCTTCGGGCCCAGGGGTTATTGGGCAGGAGCACCGGAGAGGCAGATCTCAAGGTCAAGTATTCCAAAGGGATCAACCTAGAGGAATTGATCACGGAGCTTCGATCCTTCTTATTGTCATCAAACACCAGGTGCGTGGAATTCCGTCCTTACTTCCCCCGACAATGTCACAGCTTGAACGCACACCAGTCGCTAATTTACACCTAGCCTTGCATTGCCGGCGATGACGAAGCACCGTCGAAAGACGATCCACGAGCTAGCGAATGCGATGCATCTCAAATCGCAATCCAGAGGCAATGGTCCCTCGCGGTTCCCCATGCTCATCAAGACCTCTCGCACACCCGCATATACTCACAAGACTATCTCCAAAGTGGATGATTTGCTGTCTGGCAAAAAGCTTAATCGCCGACTCTTCCAGTCCTGGGGCTCAGCCGCATCCACTTACAGCAAGCCAGTCAGAGTCAAGCGGGGTGCCGTTGGAGGTGCGGTCTCCTACATGGATGGCGACGTGGTCGGCGGCACTGCCCCAGAGATCGGAGTTGAAAACCGAGGACGCGCGATGCTGGAAAAGATGGGATGGAGCAGCGGCACCGCGCTCGGAGCTATCAACAATAAGGGTATCCTGCAACCGGTCGCGCACGTGGTGAAGAATTCACGGACGGGACTGGGATAAGAGGAAGCTGTCTGGCATCAATGTCGAGGATGGGCCTATTTTCCAGGTTTTTTTTCTCTTTTTTTTCCCCCCCTCATTACCCTACTCTCTTAGCCAGCTCTTTCTCTCGCTCTTCCTTTACATGCCTTTGTTTTTTTTCAAAAATAACTAGAAAGGGTGCCTTCGGAGAGAAATAGAGGGCCACCCAATTCCACATCACCCATCTATAGAGATACCAAGTCAAAACGATTTCTTCCAGATTATATTGTCCTCATCTTTCCATATAGTGTGACCCTCGAGTTCATCGTTTCTTACTCCTGCTACCCGCCTTTAGCAGCTGTGCATGTTTTGGGTTATCTTTAAGATGCGCAAACAACTGTGTCTTCGACGGGAAGCTTGCCTGACAATTTGTGCACGCAATGCCCACAGATTGTTCGGAATTACGAGCTGCCTTTTTGGCCCGTCTCTGCTTGGCTTTTCCAACCTGAGGAGAAACGTATGGTTCGTCACCGAGGCCGGCAGACGACAATTGCTCGGTGAGGGGAGTGATAGGATCATTGCTGGGACTAGGATCGAAATCGGAGCGAAGTCTGGTCTCGACAGATTCTCTAGAGGCATAGTCTTCATCAAGAGAATTGAGTGAGTCTCTTCTCGTTGGTTGAGAGTCCCGGGAAGATGACTGATCATCGTGCTTATTCGAAAAGGACGAGCCGTCCTCGTCAGTTTGAGCTTCGGCATCACTTTCGATCGATTCCCGAATAGGCTTATCCTGTTGTACCGTGGTGGGCGAGTCTGCAAGATAATCACCGTTGTCTGCATCACTGGTACTGCCCGTGGGAACCTCGAGGGATATTGGGACTGGTTCGGGGGAAATGGTAGTAGAAACCGTAGGCTCCAAGTCTAGCTCGTCGTTCTGCATCCGCATATCCCGACACAGTTGTTTGACAGCCTTGAGATGCTTTTTGCTTCGTTCGTGAGCTTCAAATTGCTTTTGGCTTTTGAACTGTTTGTTGCATGCAACACATTCAAAGCTCTCAATCTCACTCTCCGAACTCTCTTCATCCTCCTCGATCCCATGTTCATCAGACCGTGCCCATTCCGGAAGAACAAAGTCCCCCATCTTGGCTTGATTCTGGGCCCTTGACCTGGCTGCCTGAGCCGCCACAGACTGTCGAAGAGTTTCTTGGCGCTGGGCGTCATTCTGAGCATTGGCTTTATACCGGGGATCCCGTTTCTTGACAAAAGCCACAAGAGATCTGACTGCATCGTTGAACTCCCGAATGGCATCTTCTCGCAGGCGCCGGTTCTCCTTTTCCATCATCCGGCGAACTCGACGATCGGGAGCCTCAGAGTACCGATAGGCATCCTTCCAAGCGAAGGACTTGCAGGTAGAGAACCCGCTCCATGCTGCGTAAAAGGGACGCACCACCGTCTCAAAGTCGTCGTCGCGCGATCCAAAGGCTGGATAATCCACCATATCCTGATCTTCCCACTGGCAGGCCAGTCGCTCTTCCAGCGCCAATTGGGCAAACTGCTCCTGCAGCCCTCCAAAGAATCCAGCGGGCGAGTCGGAGAACTCCATTCGAGGGCTGAATCTGGAAAAGACCTTAAGAACATCCTCCGCCGTGGTCACGCGAATATTGTAGGAATGTTGATCTTCGGAAGCGCCATTCGTGCCTAGGAACACGTCACTATGGGAATCGTACCATGCACGCTCCTGGGGGTCTGCAAGGACCTCATATGCAGACTGGATCTCGGCGAACAGCCTGGTGGCCTCCTCGACATTTCCATAGTTGCGGTCAGGGTGCAACTCCAATGCTTTTCTTCGGTATGCCTTCTTGATCCTGCGCAGAATTGTAAGCTCAGCCATGTGAGCACATAAATTGGGGAGATGGATGGAAGGAGAAGCCTACTCGTCGTCGGTTGCCGCCCTAGTGATCCCTAGAAGCTCATAGTAATCCGTCTTTTGCTCCGACTGTTGTGCTTGGGTGTCCTGGGCCTTGGAGCCCGTCGACTGAGACTGGCCCATGCTGAGTTGATGGGCCCAGTTGCTAGGTACGGTGTGCGTGCCCCCGAACCGCTCGTAGCGAGTCAGCTAAGGCTCCTCAAGTTTGAGCTGTCTTTTAGCAAAAAAATCCAGTTGATCCGAGGCTGGGTGTTGTAAATAGGTAAGCCTGTAACCGCATAAGAGCAGAGACTTCTTTCTCTTCTCGCTGTGCTCCTGTGGTCGAATTTCTTGAATCGGAGGGGTATCTTTTCTTTCCGCCTTATCAATCAGGCTTGGCATTTTCCTCTCCGCCCGTTCCCCCTCCCCGCCTTTGCAGCTGCCAAAATGTTACTGCCAGTCGCCCGTTCCTTGCTCGTCTCCACCTCATCATCCTCCTCTTTCCAGGATCCACTCGTCTGCCAATTCACATCCGCTTCACAGCTTTGTGCCGAGAGGAAAATATGCCTGATTCTCGGATTTCCGACGTATGAGGGTTCAATACTGGAGTGGAAATAGTGTGCCGTATGTTTTGCACCCTGCGGCCAAAGCTTCAAACTACAAGTCTGGGAGCAAGATTGCCACCGAGTGGTTAATCAGATCCTCCTCCCCCATCTCTTGGGTTCCCCGAGGACAGCCTCACTCCTCCTGCAGGGATGGTCGTGTCTCTTGATTGTCTTCCGGAGGAGATTCTTCATTCCATTCTGTACTATTTACATCCTTGCTCTGCCGCTGCACTCGGGCAAACCAGCTATCGATTCAAGGATGTGACCAGCGGACCACTACTGTGGCGTCATTACTGTGCAGTGTACTTCAAGTCATGGGACAAGAAACACAAAATTCTACACAAACTCACGATCCCGGTGTCGTCTGTCGATTGGAAGGCACTCTTCGTGTTGAGATACCAAATTGACTGCGCAGTCACTCGGCTTTTGGACAGCATTCTTGCCAGTCAAACGGGACGCATTGAGAAGTTTCGCGCCGTTATTGACTATGGATACGACGCCAAAGATACCCTTCTGCGACACAGCGAAGTTGAATCTGGCGAGGATCATCTTGCAAGAAGGTTGGTTCCCTTCATTTACAAAATCTTCCCCTTATGCTGATGAATGCGGTCTCTGATCTTTTTTTCGTCGAAGGTACTATGCGCGAGCACTCTTGACTTGTCTTCATCGGAGCATTGCGGTTCCTGAGTGGGCCAGGCTCCGACAGGGCAAACCTGTGTCGCTTGAGCGCGCCCTGGGGGCCTTCGACCTCTTTGTCCCCGAGAGCGGATACGGTGATCTAGACGAGGTGGGTTTGTATTCCTTCGGCCCTTCTCTTATTTCCTTTTGTTCTTGCTCGCTCTCCCGGTCTTCTAGCCACCCCCTCAAATACTGACGAAAGCCCAGGTCACAGAAATGTTAGATGACCTCGTTGCCCAATTTGTTACTTCTCTCTCTGAATTGAATGATCTCAGCCCTCGCGACAAGGCTCTGTTGCTCGCGTCTTGGCTACACGATCATGATCTCACGGGAATCGAACGGGGTCGGGAATACCATGCCGTAGAACACAACTTCCTGGGCCTGGCTTTAAACAGTCCAGGACATAATTCCCTTCCCCTGATCTCTGCCGCCATCTATTGCTACGTGGCGCGAGCAATTGGCTTGGATGCCCATCCCTGCGGGTTTCCATTCCACGTTCATGTCATTATCATCCCACCGCCCGGCGTGGACATGAATGGAGAGGCTGTCTCCGGGGCAAATTCAGGCCCTCCAATCTACTTGGACCCATTCCGAGGCGCACGGGAAACCCCCGTGTCTGATCTACGAGACCAGCTTGCTTTTCTGGGTGCTTCTGATACGGAGCAGGCGGCGTTCCTCGGCCCATCATCAACGTCAGAGATCGTCCAGCGGTGTGGCAGAAACATTTGGACTTCAATCAGTACAGCAACCACCCCCCCTGGCGGGCACACCACATCGGTAGATGTGGTGAGTGCCAAGTATGCCTCCTTATGGTCTTTGATGCTGCTTGCGCGGGATTCGCGACCCATGGACTTGCGTCACCACCTTCCGTTGCTCATGGAGCTTTTCGCAACTGATTTCCCGTCCGACATCTTTTTGGTGGAACAATACATTGTCCCCTTATTCCAGGGCCTCTTTGAATACGAACACATTTTGGAAAGTCTTCACGTCATGCGGGCAGTGGACGAGATTCCCAAGCAGGTGCGGCGACGGACTGGTGAGAATCAGAACATCCGATATCATGTGGGTCAGGTTTTCCGACACCGCCGATATCAGTACTGCGCTATTATCACCGGCTGGGATCGGGAATGCGGTGCCGGTGAGCAGTGGATGCGGCGAATGGGCATTGATCGCTTACAGGCTGGTCGCCATCAAAGTTTCTATCACGTTCTGTAAGTTTCACGGTTCTCGAATTCATCTGGAATATAAGACTGACCGATTTTTTCCAACTTCGCAGCGTGGAGGATCGAAGCGTCCGATATGTGGCGGAGGAAAACATTGACCTGATACTTCCGGAGTTTAGCGACTTACCCTCGAGTCTGACGAGCGTCGCTGGAAAGCATTTTAAGCGGTGGGATCAGTCGAGTCGGGCGTTTGTGAGTAATACGAGGGACGAATACCCCGATGATTTGTTTGTTTTTTTTTTTTTTTTTTTTTGAATTGATCCAGTGTGTCCATTACGCATCGTGATAATATGAATGGTACTACTACTACTTTGTTTTATCGAGGTATCCGTACTGAGCACTCGAAGAAATCTTGTATACCACAGTAGTTCCATTTAGTTACAGTTAACGTTAGTTAGTTACTCCGTGTATGTACAGTACAGTAATACCTCAGAGTGGGTCCCGAGACGTTCTGGGCACGTCGATCCCAACCGTCAACTCCATTCCCCGATTTCCCCGATTTCCCTTCAGGTACCCGCCGAAATTCAGATTCCCACATACAACAACACTCGTGGGGCCCCCGTCATGGCCTCTCCGCTGGCCAATGACCCTGAACGCGTCGCGCGTATCATGCTGTCCTGGCACTCGCTCGATCTTGTCTCGTGCAGGAAATTGCAGACGCTGTGGGCAGGCTATGGAAGTATCTGCGCGATCACAGCGCGAGCTACCACCGATGAAGCGACGGAGTACCTCAGCAAGTTATGCTATATGGAAGCGCAAGCTGTTGGGGCCACTTATCCATTGATCCTGAAGCTGATCTTGCCCCCGAGCAAAGGCGCAGCCCAACCAGACGAGGGCCACTTGCGGAAGATGCTCAGCTACGAGGTGGAGCAAAGCTTTTATAATGACGTGGTTCCGCTCTTGGGAGATGGAATCGCCGTAGCCAAGTGCTTGGCCTCCACGCGACAAATGAGGGGCAAAAGGGGTGAGGCGGAGCTCGACGGTCTGCTGGCCATGCTCATGGTGGATTTGACCCCTCAATTCCCCGTTCCGGGGGGGAAGAGGGATGCCCTAAACCGCACGCAGGTATATAGCGCGCTAGAATGGCTGGCTCGCTTTCATTGTCGCTCATGGGGGTTGCGCGCAGACAGCCTCGACCGATACATCTTGCCTCCGCTTCAAGAACATGTTAGGAGACGCAGTTCGGGCAGCAGCGACGACCGCCTCGGGCAAGGGCTGTGGCTCAACGGTGGGTACACGTATCTGGCGACACGACGGAGCGAGTACGCTTCCCTCGCTCGAGATACCTCCTCGGAATGGTCCGATGCGATGTGTAGGGCGTGGCCGGGCTGCTCCATGTCCGCTGCCGAGATGGCTGCCAGCTTCTTGACCCCCCGTGGAAGGTCCATTGAATCGTATATCCATGGGGACGTCAAGTCGGAGAATCTCTTCACGACGAGAGACGGCAATAAGGTGGCGTTCTTTGATTTCCAATATGTTGGGTTGGGTTTGGGAGTCTGTGACCTTGCAAAACTATTCACCTGTTCAGTGCCTCTAGAGATGCTCGTGGAGTCTCAGGACCCGTTGCCCGAGCGGTTGATGATGGGGGATGGCGAGAGGCACCTTCTGAAACAGTACCACATTTCTCTCTCGTATGAGAAGGAGTCGGACTTTTACGAATGGGCGGCATTCGAGCGACACTGGGAAACAGCTCTAGTGGATTGGTGTCGTTTCCAGGCCTCATGGGGATTCTGGGGTAATACAGAGTGGCTTGAGGCCCGTGTGAGATCAATTCTCGACGATGATGGGTGGAGACACTGGATACTTGAAAACACAATCGGTCGGGATCCTTAGCCTAGGAAACAAAGCTTCGAGATCGAGTTTTAACTTCCTTTGACCTATGGTTAATGACCCACTTCTTTTCAGCTAGCATGATTCTAGGAAATTTGGGAACATAGCTCTTCTACTGATTCCATTTCTACTATTCTTATATAAATCATCCTTCGATCTTAAAAGAAATTAGAGGGAGTTTCGTTATTGATATTATAGGGTAGTGCTAGAGCTACACCCCTTTCGTTAGATAAATACCCCTATACCTGAATTTTTAGGCAGAACTTCCTATTTAAGGTCAGCGTGAGGCATATAACCTAACGTTATAAGCTTTCTGCTAGAATTCTACTATAGCTATAGTAATACCCCCTTTTCTACTACATTTTCTACTACTTTTCTGCTATTTTAGTCTCTACTATCTCCTTTTCTAATTTATATAGTAAAACTACTATATAAACTACTATATAAACTACTATATAAACTACTATATAAACTACTATATAAACTACTATAAACTATGTCTTTTTAGTAGAAAAATCTATACTAAATTTAAATCTATCTAACTATCTTTCTTAGTAGTAAGTTTAGTCTTTATTACCTAGCTATATAGTCCTAGTCCTGGTTAACCTCCTAGTATGACGTATCGGATAAGTTATACTTATAAACTAGTTAGTTATATTACTAGTTAGTTAACTTTACCTTAAGAGTATAGCTAAAGGTCTCGCTAGTTGACGGATCGACATTAAACTTTCGATATTCCTAAGTACTATACAGTGAATTAGCGAGTTATTAGGTAATTATTATATTACTTTGTATTAGCCTATATATATTATAGTACGGGAGCCACTAACGGATTTTAGTGCTATTTTTGATTAGTTAGGTCGCTAGTCCTTACTTAAGGATTCGGCCTTATTAGTCTCTTTAGTCTAGAGTACTAGTTTAGAGGATTATTTTTTATATAGTGTAATTAGCTTTACGGGGTTCTATATATATACTTTATAGAGAGAGATATATATATACTATATATAGTAGGATAGCTCTTTCTCTACATAAGATAGTTATTCTTTTATTACTAATTTATATATTTTTTTTATTTCCTTTTAGTCTTTATAGTTTTCCTATAAATTATTATAATATTTAATAAGGCTATTTATATATTGATATTAGCGCCTTAAGTATCTATATATTAGGGATTCTACTAAGGCGGTAGGTAACTAGCGGTTAGCTAGTAACCCCTTAGTAATAATTCGAGATTATCTCTCTATATACTAACCCTACTCTACGGTATAGGCTATATATTAGCTATATAGTAGCCTTTTACTATAGTTTCCCTATTAATTTATATTTAAGTATTATTTAAATAAAAAACTACTTTATTTAAATTAATACTTAAGTTAGATTTCTCTTCCTTAGAAAATAGTCCTTATAATAATTTAACTTAGTATTTTACTCTCCTACCTAGTTAATAGGTTATCTATCTTATAAATAGTATACTCTTAATAATTCTATTTCTTCTTTTTAATTCAATCAATCAATATTCATTAGCCCGATCTAGCTTCCTATATTTACAGGTGCTATGCGGGGGTTTGCTATCTTACTTCTCCAGCAGCAGATACAGAGAAAAGATAGTGGTAGAACCAGCTGACCAAGCCATCAGCGAGAGGTGGTGGTGGTTAGAAGCCTAGAGATCTGCGCTATAGCCTGCCGGAAAGGTCAGGCCGCCAGCTAGCCAGTCGGCCCAGCCACAGCGCGAGCCACAGAAGCCACAGCCACGGCGCGGGCCGCAGAGGTCAGGCCGCTAAGGCTACCACCTACGCGAACAAGAAGGGAAGTAGGGCAAACGCAGTAAACGAAGCCAAACAAGCCAAACAAACACCAACAAAGGAAACAGCTAAACGAAGGAAGGGGAATCGCTGCAATCCCCGTAGTCTCTAAGCCCCCTTATCCTCTCAGCACCGCCAGTCCCCAGCGGCCGCCATTAGCCCTCGAGCCCTCGAGCCCTCACGCCCTCCGGACGGTCAGCACTAGCCGTCAGCCTCTGAACCGTCCGATTCCACCGAGACCCTATCCTTCTACCTCCGCCCTTATCTCCCGCTCCCACGGTCGGCATCCTCGATTCGCCGAGATCCCGTATCACTAGGGTACCTCTACTACACAGCACCAATTCCCCGTTACCACGTCCCCGGTCGGCCTAATCTCGCATCGACGGACTACTCCGCAGCATCCACATCTATACAAAAACACTATATCGGCCGTAGCCGCTATTATACACATCATAGAAGTTAAGGAGGATAAGTAGACCTAGCACTCGCCCTCTAGTTATAAGCGTCATCGGGATCCCACTCCCACTATCTCTAGGTGAGAGATTATTTATCTCTATCTAAAGCAGAACTAAGAGATTCCTCAGCGCCTACTAGTCCTTCTAGTCCTTCTAGTCCTACCGGCTCTTCCACGCCGGTGGCTATCGGGTCTACCTCGAGGAATTAGCCTAGGAGACCTATATCTAGCATAAATTCAGCCACGATAGGCCTCGCTTCCTTTCTACTAAGTAACTTATCGGTCCTAATAGCCATCGAGACGCCTACCTTAGCTAGTTATTAACGTATACGATCGTATAGGTTAATTAGCTATAGGTAGGCTAATAGGATATAGGAGACGGTCTGACGGCCCTAGTTATATACGCACTAGGCGGTCTCTACGCGGTTAATTTTAGCTAGATACCCTCTAAGGGCGATTCGACCGGTGCGAAGTTAGATTAGCACTAATAAGGTCGCCTTTCGTAGGCCCTCCTAGTACTCTAGGACCTTCTTAATTAGTTACTTAATAAGACGCCTAGTCGGCCGTATAACCGCGTTAGGACCGGTGGTCTATTTCTACTAGGATTACTCCTAGGTCAGCTTTACCTACCGGCGTACCCGGCGCTTAACTACGGCCGCTAGGACGATCCGCCGGTCGTTAATCTCTAGCGGGCTATCCCGTAGGGCAGCGTTTTTAGCTACCTTATTAGCAGCCTCGTTGCCCGGGATACCTCTATACGTAGGAATCTATCTAAGCTCTACCTAGACACCCTACCTATCTAGCTAGCCGGCTAGATCGCTAGCCCCTTAGAGGTAGACCTGGCTAGAGGGTATACGTGGGCGGTAGAGGGCCCTTAGCGCCGGCTAGCTATCGGCAAAGATAACTAACCCGGCGGTCGCTAGCTTTTCTTCCTAGAAGCCCTATAGTATGCGATTTCTAATAAGAGTAAGGGATATCTTAATCGCGCGAATCTCTACTAAGTATACTATAGAGATCTCCTTAGTACCTATCTAGCTCTAGATCTTCTATATACTATTAAAACCGACTACTACGCTAGCGCCTACGCGTCCTTAGTAGCCGCTACCGTCGGTATATATCACTATCGGCTACGGTGTTTTCGTAAGAATCTTATTATACTTATTAGTAGTAGTTTCCCTCTCCTAGATTACCACCTTTAGGGGTATACGCTAGGGAGGCCGTACGTATATAATACGGCTCTCCTAGATAAACTCCCGGCTAGGAACCCCTAGGGAAGCTATAAGGAATCCGCCGGCCCTCTACGCGATAGCCTCTATCGGTAAGAATCTACTAAGCTAGCGCTACGCTTTAGTGCGTTTATTAACGATCGTCGGTAGGATAGCGAAGGGAGGCCTAGTTCGTAAGTGAATTATAGTCTCGTTAACCATCCTTTCTATTAGTATTTATATAGGTATAAGATAGAGCTCCGTATATAGCGCGGCTACTATAGTGGTTCGGAAGGCCCTACTAATAAGATAGGCCGCTCTATACTATATACTCTCGAAAGGTCGAGAGATAGCCGCGCGGCGCCCTTTAGTATCGTTATTAGGTATAAACCATACTAATACGCTATATAGTATCTATAGGATAATAACGGCTTAGTAGATCCTCTATATAGCTATCGTAGAACTACCCTATATAGATATACCTAGAGATCGGATCGTATTTAGGCTAATAGAGCCCTTCTACGAGAGCTTTTAGCGATAGTCGTTAAAAGAAAGGTCCTTATCTAGCTAATACCCTAGGTATTTAGCTGATTTAGAAGGTAGGATAGTCACCTCTAGTAGGTAGAGAGGCGTATAGGCCTTAGCTACTACCGGATTAGTCGCGCGAGGGTTAATAAAATATACTAATAAGTACTTTTTCTTATTGAATACAGAAGTATAGGTCTCGGCCTATTAGTCAGCCTTTTAGTAGGCTATCTCTAACTAGTGGATATTAGCCTATTTAGAGTAGCTAGTGGCTATAATAGCTATATCGTCTACCTAGCTATTAGTAAAGACCTCTAGCTAGCTAGTTAGCTAGCTATCTACTAGTAGACTATATCCTTTAATTAGATCTATATTATAGAGTAGGTATAGAATAGGAGAGATTAGTAAGCCTTAAGGGATACCGGTCGGTGTAGGTATTCGCTATAAGAGTCCTTCTAGTATACGAATCCTAGTTAACCGGCCGGTTAGGAAGGCCCTCACCTACGGTACGTATTAGCTAAGCCGGCGCTTCTTTAGATCGTGTAGTAGTCTATTATATAATACGTTATCGTAGGCCCTAGAGACGTCTAGTAATAGTAGGGATACTACCGCTTTACCGTTACCCTAGGTAGTTTTAATACGATCTAGTAAGATCTAAATAGCGTGATTAGTAGAGATCCCCTTCCGGCTACCTAGATAGCTAACCGGTAGGAGTCCTTCCGTTTCTACTATATATAAGATTCGTCTAGTAACTACGGCCTCTAGGAACTTAGCTAGTGTATTAATAAGTACTACCGGGCGGTAGGATTTAGCTACCTAATAGTCACGATCGCTACCTACCTTACGTAAGACGATAGTAAGAGATTTCTGAAAGTATATAGGATTATAGCTAACGCGAATATATACGTCGAAGATAGTAGTAAGCGTCTATAGAACTACCGGTAGTTTAATAAGTTTATACTAAAGGCTATTAGGTAGCGAGTCCTCTCCGGGTGCCTTACCGACGCCGGTAGAGAGGACGGTATCTTCTACTTTATAGAGGGCGAGAGGGTAGACGTGAATCTAATTAGATAGGTATAGATAGTTAGTAATATTAGAGAGATCGGCCGGCGGAGGTATAGGGAAGAAAGCCTAGCGGAAGGCCTAGGCCTTCTTATCTACCGTCTCTACTAGGCCGCTCTCGGCTATAATA